ACTATTAAAAATGTTGCATTTGACAAAAATTAGAAAAAAATACATAATTTTTCTAAGAAAAAATTTCTAAAAAACTAGTTATACTCAAAATTAAAAATTTTAAAAATCAAAAAAATCAGAATGCCAACAAAAATAGAAAAATAATTTTTTAAATATTTTTAAACTAATGATCCCTAAAATCAAGGCAATTTTGATCAATATTTTTGTTACAATTATAAAAAATTATCAGTATTATCCTTATAGGGGAATTATAACTGTAATCTTTGAACAAAAAGCATCTATTTTTATATAAAAATATTAAATTTATCATAATAAGAAATTATCAATTTAAAAGGTAGTTTGATTGTCGGGTACCAAATAATTTTAACTAAACAATTTTAGTTCAATTGTTATCTTTATCATTCCATTAAAATATTAAATATTAAGAAAAAAATATTTTTTTACGATTTTAATAAGGGCCAAAAATGACTAAATTTACTAAATTATCTAAATAATATTAACATAATCCACGTTACATAATTTAATTTATGTTTTTATTTTTTTTGAAGAAAAGGAATGTTTAGTCCTAGTCATAGTTAGTTTAGAAATGTCAATACTGGGTATTTGTAAAGTTTAAATAAAAATAAAAAAATAACAAAAATTGTTTTCATTTTTACTGTGAGAAAAAAGGGGGAAAAAGTGAGTGCTTCCCGAGTGATTAATTTTAGATTACTCATAAGAAGGGATTAAAATGGGATAAAAATCGAAATAAATCGGCTTTAACATGCTTCAATTAAAACAAAATTTTAATAAATTTAATAAAATATTCTACCTATTCTATGTTGCTGGTCATTTGTTTGTTTAATTCTAATAGTTGGTTGGACTGTTAATAACAATTGCGATCGCTTCTGATCTCCGTTATTCACGCCACCCTTCTTTTTTGTACCTCTTCCTGGAAAAGACAAACAAATAAAAATTTTTTTTTATTTTTTAGTAATTGAAAAGGGCCCACGTAATGCAAATAACCAGTTTTCTTTCTCTCTCTCCCGAAATCCAATAAATTTTGGGCGCACTTGATCTCTCAGCGGAACTTACCCACACACACTCTTTTTACAAAACAAACAAAAAAATAATTTAAAAATTTTAAAATTGCACAAAAACAAAGCAATTGTAACCAAAGATTGAAAATTTAATCATTCAATTTTAACTTGAATTAATTTTAAAAAATATTGTAATTGAAAAATGTATAGAAACATGTTAAGAGGATAGCAACAGGAAATTTAAGAAGGGCTTTGGAAGATATGAAATTAAATTTAGATCGCCTGGCACAACTCACGGGTTGAGAATAAGTCGGATCGGGTTTAAGAGGGAGTCAGGTTTTGGACCGGATTTGGTGGTTGGGGTAAGGTTGGGGGCTGGTAACGCGTGACATCCCCGTGACTCAAATCCAGGAACCTTTTCCCATTCATTCTAATCCAGAATATTAATAAATATAAAACTCCTAACACCTTTATCAACTTCCTGATCATTTAACATTCCATCACGACATGTTCCATAAGCACTAGGATTTTGTTTAGGAATTGTTGGTAATTTTGATAAAGACGAGGATGAGTCAAATAACCACGATCTTTCATCAATCTTTGGCTCATCTCGTTTCCAAAGATTCATTTTAGGAAAATTTTAAATTGAAAATTTAAAAAATCTGGATCAAAAAGTATTTTATCAAATTATTCAATGAATTGGAAGAAAAATCAATTTTGATAGGCTTAACAATATTATATGAGAATGAAATATAAAATGGTTGATAAAATTTACAAAAAAACTGATAAGAATAAAATCAAATAATAAAAATTTAATTAATTCTTTGGGGTCTGAGCATGATGCAAAAACTAGTTAAATTTATTTTTTGTTATTTTTTTAATTATTTTTTTAATTTTTAAAATCTTCCATCTTGAGAAAAAAATTTCATTTTTGCACTTTAGAACATACAAAATCTCATCATTTCTTACGCACATATTTTTCATCTTCACTCAATTAGGGGGCCATTTTTTAAATTAAAAAGAGAATTTGGTGAATTCAAAAATAGGGGGAAAGGTGACAGCCGATGGGAACGCATCGTCATAGGAGGGGAGAACGTTCTCGCACGTCTTGGGAGGCTTTCGTTGGTTTGCGCGCTCACATCAAAACTCGCTGTGTTTTTGGTCCTCCCTCACTCAAATCAACCAGTAATCAACACAAGATCAATGCCCTCATCACAGGAAAAGGCTGGCGCAGTGATCGCTACTAAAATTAGCTATCGACAGCCGAGAACGTTGACACCAAAAGAAAAAACTGCATTATCTGAAAATAAATTTAGAGCGACAAAAACTAAATCTGCTATTCCAAAATTGTATTTTTCAGTATTATTATTTATCTTCACATGTGTGGGTGTTCCAGAACATGTGTGGGTGCGAACCATTATTTTGAAATTCTGGAACACCCACACATGTGAAGATAAATAATAATACTGAAAAATACAATTTTGGAATAGCAGATTTAGTTTTTGTCGCTCTAAATTTATTTTCAGATAATGCAGTTTTTTCTTTTGGTGTCAACGTTCTCGGCTGTCGATAGCTAATTTTAGTAGCGATCACTGCGCCAGCCTTTTCCTGTGATGAGGGCATTGATCTTGTGTTGATTACTGGTTGATTTGAGTGAGGGAGGACCAAAAACACAGCGAGTTTTGATGTGAGCGCGCAAACCAACGAAAGCCTCCCAAGACGTGCGAGAACGTTCTCCCCTCCTATGACGATGCGTTCCCATCGGCTGTCACCTTTCCCCCTATTTTTGAATTCACCAAATTCTCTTTTTAATTTAAAAAATGGCCCCCTAATTGAGTGAAGATGAAAAATATGTGCGTAAGAAATGATGAGATTTTGTATGTTCTAAAGTGCAAAAATGAAATTTTTTTCTCAAGATGGAAGATTTTAAAAATTAAAAAAATAATTAAAAAAATAACAAAAAATAAATTTAACTAGTTTTTGCATCATGCTCAGACCCCAAAGAATTAATTAAATTTTTATTATTTGATTTTATTCTTATCAGTTTTTTTGTAAATTTTATCAACCATTTTATATTTCATTCTCATATAATATTGTTAAGCCTATCAAAATTGATTTTTCTTCCAATTCATTGAATAATTTGATAAAATACTTTTTGATCCAGATTTTTTAAATTTTCAATTTAAAATTTTCCTAAAATGAATCTTTGGAAACGAGATGAGCCAAAGATTGATGAAAGATCGTGGTTATTTGACTCATCCTCGTCTTTATCAAAATTACCAACAATTCCTAAACAAAATCCTAGTGCTTATGGAACATGTCGTGATGGAATGTTAAATGATCAGGAAGTTGATAAAGGTGTTAGGAGTTTTATATTTATTAATATTCTGGATTAGAATGAATGGGAAAAGGTTCCTGGATTTGAGTCACGGGGATGTCACGCGTTACCAGCCCCCAACCTTACCCCAACCACCAAATCCGGTCCAAAACCTGACTCCCTCTTAAACCCGATCCGACTTATTCTCAACCCGTGAGTTGTGCCAGGCGATCTAAATTTAATTTCATATCTTCCAAAGCCCTTCTTAAATTTCCTGTTGCTATCCTCTTAACATGTTTCTATACATTTTTCAATTACAATATTTTTTAAAATTAATTCAAGTTAAAATTGAATGATTAAATTTTCAATCTTTGGTTACAATTGCTTTGTTTTTGTGCAATTTTAAAATTTTTAAATTATTTTTTTGTTTGTTTTGTAAAAAGAGTGTGTGTGGGTAAGTTCCGCTGAGAGATCAAGTGCGCCCAAAATTTATTGGATTTCGGGAGAGAGAGAAAGAAAACTGGTTATTTGCATTACGTGGGCCCTTTTCAATTACTAAAAAATAAAAAAAAATTTTTATTTGTTTGTCTTTTCCAGGAAGAGGTACAAAAAAGAAGGGTGGCGTGAATAACGGAGATCAGAAGCGATCGCAATTGTTATTAACAGTCCAACCAACTATTAGAATTAAACAAACAAATGACCAGCAACATAGAATAGGTAGAATATTTTATTAAATTTATTAAAATTTTGTTTTAATTGAAGCATGTTAAAGCCGATTTATTTCGATTTTTATCCCATTTTAATCCCTTCTTATGAGTAATCTAAAATTAATCACTCGGGAAGCACTCACTTTTTCCCCCTTTTTTCTCACAGTAAAAATGAAAACAATTTTTGTTATTTTTTTATTTTTATTTAAACTTTACAAATACCCAGTATTGACATTTCTAAACTAACTATGACTAGGACTAAACATTCCTTTTCTTCAAAAAAAATAAAAACATAAATTAAATTATGTAACGTGGATTATGTTAATATTATTTAGATAATTTAGTAAATTTAGTCATTTTTGGCCCTTATTAAAATCGTAAAAAAATATTTTTTTCTTAATATTTAATATTTTAATGGAATGATAAAGATAACAATTGAACTAAAATTGTTTAGTTAAAATTATTTGGTACCCGACAATCAAACTACCTTTTAAATTGATAATTTCTTATTATGATAAATTTAATATTTTTATATAAAAATAGATGCTTTTTGTTCAAAGATTACAGTTATAATTCCCCTATAAGGATAATACTGATAATTTTTTATAATTGTAACAAAAATATTGATCAAAATTGCCTTGATTTTAGGGATCATTAGTTTAAAAATATTTAAAAAATTATTTTTCTATTTTTGTTGGCATTCTGATTTTTTTGATTTTTAAAATTTTTAATTTTGAGTATAACTAGTTTTTTAGAAATTTTTTCTTAGAAAAATTATGTATTTTTTTCTAATTTTTGTCAAATGCAACATTTTTAATAGTAGGGGAATCAATATGTGTTCTTATCAAATTGTTTCCAATAATGTTAAGAACGTTTTTTCCTCTCTTTCTGTTCCACCTTGAATCACTAATTTACTTTTTTTACATTTTTTTATTATTTTAAACAAGAAAATTTAAATTCTGTGCCTTTTGACATCAAAAAAACTCTGCTAAAAATGACTGGAATAAATAATAACCAACAAGAAGTGTCCGAATCGCAAACAAAAAATAAAAGAGAACAACAACAAAATTCGGAAAATGAAAGGACTGAGTCTATTTGCACAGAGGAGGAAGCTTTGGATTATATGGTGGCTATTCCTGAAACTGATGGAGAGGTGAAAATTTAAATTTCGTTTTTAAAATATTTTTTTGTTTTTTAGTCAATTTTTAGTTTGAGGAAACTTTGGGCATTGTACGTAGTTTTTAAAATTTTTTTGAATATTTTTAAAATTTATTTTTAAAGTACTGGACCTGGTTTTTTGATGAGCATTGCTTATTTGGATCCAGGTTTGTTTTTTTTGGCTTTTTTGGGTTTGATGGTCATTTACGGCCCCCTTTTCCCTCCCCAAGTTCTTCCCTAAGAAGGGGCCATAAACGACATTTTTAACATTTCTTGTTATACGTTTTATTTTTTAGGAAATATTGAGTCAGATTTGCAGTCAGGAACTGTTGCTAGATACAAAGTATGAAAAAAATTTAATTGAAATTAATTTATAAAAAATTTAACAGCTTCTCTGGGTACTTCTTATGGCTCATATTCTTGGCTTCTTTCTGCAACGGTTATCGGCTCGTTTGGGTGTCGTTTCAGGGAAAAATATGGCGGTATATTTTTTATTATTTTTATTACTTATTGACCATTTTGGGGTTCGAAATTTGGATTTTTGGGGATTTTCTTTGAAAAAATAAATTTTCGATTCTCTTTTCGTTAAAAAATTCAGTTTAAAATTTTTAATTATTTTTAGTAATAAATTATTTTCTTATAAATCTAAATTCAGGAAATGGCCTACGAATTTTATCCAAAGGTTCCTCGTCTTTTTCTTTGGTCAATGATTGAAATTGCAATTATATGTTTGTTTTTTAATTTTTTTTCAAAATTATTTTCAATTTTCTAGGCAGCGACATGCAAGAAGTTATAGGTACAGCAATTGCTTTTTCTTTGCTTTCTAATGGAAGGTTTTCTTTAAAAAAATTTTTTTTTAATTTATTTTTATTAGAATTCCTCTATTTGTTGGTGTTTTAATCACAATGGTTGACACCTTCACTTTTTTACTTATTGACCGTTACGGGTTTCGAAAATTGGAATTTATTTTTGCCCTTTTAATTGCTACAATGGCTATAACTTTTGGATTTGAGGTTTTTTTAATTTTTAAAATTAAAAATTTTTTTTAAAAAGTTTTTTGTTGTAAAACCAGACATTGTTGATTTAATTTCTGGCACTTTGCTCCCTTATTGCCCCGATTGTGGCAGAAAAGAATTTTTACAAGCAATAAGTGTTGTTGGAGCAGTTATAATGCCACATAACCTTTATTTGTAAATTTTTTAAATTTCTAAAAAATTTTTGAAAATTTAAAAAATTAAATTTAGGCATTCCGCTCTAGTAAAAAGTCGTAAAATTGATAGAAGTCAACGCAGAAATATTTCAGAAGCAAATCTTTACTATTTTATTGAATGTGTAATTGCTCTAACTTGCAGTTTCTTTATAAATCTTTTTGTTGTTTCTGTATTTGCTCATGGACTTTATGGAAAAACGAATGTTGATATTGTGGGTTGGCAAGCAATTTTTTTTTCTAAATTAAAAATAATTTTTTAAATTTAATTTTTCAATCCAAAAAATTTATTTTTTTAAGTTCAAAAGTTGCGAAGGTCAAAGCACAATTCCCGACAGACAACTTTTTCCAAACAATACAGACCCTGTAGAGGCTGATATTTACAAAGGAGGAATTTTTCTGGGTTGTCAATTTGGACTGACTGCTCTATATGTTTGGGGTGTTGGAATTATGGCTGCTGGTCAGAGTAGTACAATGACAGGTTTTTAATTATAATATTTGAATTTTAATTGGGACAGAAGGGGAAGCTTTAAGATAAGGGAGTGGTTTTTTCGGAAATTTCAGGGCCAGACTCGAAAAATTTGAAGGTAGTGGCTTTTGAAAATTTACTTTAACGCTCTTACATTGGCTGTTTCTGCTTGACACCATTGGATTGGGACACGCCCAAGTAGGCGCGCGGCCAAGTAGGCGCAAAGCCATAACTATCTGAAAAATTTATGGACCTTAACAATTTTGGTACCAATCTCTTTAACTCGATGAGAGGAATCGTTTAATACCAAATTTGGTAAGATTCGGAAATTTTGAAGCAGGTTATGACTTTGCGCCTACTTGGCCGCGCGCCTACTTGGGCCGTACCCCATTGGATTAATTAATTTAATTTGTAGGCACATATGCTGGTCAATTCACCATGGAAGGCTTTTTACAAATCAAATGGCCTCGTTGGAGGAGAGTTTTATTTACCCGTTCAATAGCAATTGTGCCAACATTATCTCTTGCCTTAAAAACCCAAGGAGTGCAGAATTTAACAGGGATGAATGACTTGTTAAATTGTGTACAAATGATTCAACTACCTTTTGCTTTATTACCAATAATTACATTTACTGCACATCGAAAAATAATGTTTGATTTTTGTACAACATTAACTGGACAAGTTTGAAAAAAATTTTTTAAAAATTTTTAAATTTTTTAAAGGTATTTGCATTTTTTACTTCACTTTTAGTAATTGCAATTAATTTATATTTTTCTTTTGATTATATAATGGCTGAATTAGAGGGAACTTGGATGGCTTGGATAATGTTAATTGGCCCTGGAAGTATTTATATAACATTTGTTTTGTATTTGATTATTACGGTTTGTTTAAAATTTATTTTTAGAGTTCATAGTGAAAACGCCTATTCGCGATTTTCTTATGCAAATGTGCAGCTGCGTATGTACACTCTCACATTGTGTTTAACAAAAATCCGGAAAAGTCCGGTGGTGAAATGGGGAGCATCAGAGAAAGAAGTGGCAAAATGTGCTGTCAGCTTCTTTATAACGCGATTCTTTTTTCGGGACTTTTCCGGTTTTTTATTAGGCACAATGTGAGAGAATATACGCTGCTGCACATTTGCATAAGAAAGACGGTAATTCTTCGGTTCGTACCCCCCACTCCTTTTTCCTTCCTCAAAGTGTTAAAAAATGGTCAGTCAATCTTGTGTCATAGAACTCGTCGAGCTGAGTCGAATGACACCAAAATTGACAAAATCCGACTTAATTGGACCGAGATACAGACCCCTGAAAATTGAACAACAATAGGGGCGAAAAACCATGGGTTCGAGAGTTTATACAAATGATAGCTCATTCGAAAGAGCTCTTCGAGCTGAGTCGAATGACGACAAAATCAACTCGATTGGACAAGATTTGACAAAATTATGACATAAAGTCGCCGACTCCGATAATTCAATTCAATTCAATTTATACGTATAAAAACGTGACATTCAGATAAAATAAAGTAAAGTAAACGTGACAATAATTTAAATTTAAATCGCTAAGGGTCTGGAGACATTTGAATGGAATGTGGCTATGATAAAATATTGTTTATGTTAAAATTGTTTAGGAGCTTTGGAAACAATTCGATTGACGATTTTTGTAATTCTGTTGGAAGTTTTCTGTAAATGTTTGGTATGTCTATAAAAAATGAGTTTTTCCGAATGGTGCTTGAACAAAAGGGGATAAATAGGTTATGTGGATTACCTCTAGTAGTGGTAGGGAGAATGCTATATGTATTATCGTGTTTTAGATTAATTTTACCTAAAATGATATTATGGAAAAGGATAAGATTAGATTTTAGACGTCTATGCGATAGAGATTCAAGTTTAAATAGGTCTAGGAGTTCTTTATAATTAGGTAAGGTTGGACTGTTGTTATGTTTTATAGAGCGTAAATATATTATTTTTAAAAATTTATGTTGAACATTTTCTAAAGCGTTAATGTCTTTACTTAGATAAGGGTTAATTATAGGAGATCCAAACTCAAGGATAGGTAAGACATATATTTTGAATAAAGTAATTAGGAATTGTGTATTATTAGTTTTAAGGGATCTTATAAGAGTATAATAAATTCCAGTTGCTTTATTTGTTACAATTTTAATGTGAGAATCCCATTTCAGGTTTGATGTAAAATAGATGCCAAGATCACGAATAGGTTCGTTGTGTGGAATAATTGGTATATTAATGTTTTGTAGAGTATATTGGTGGAAGGGATTTTTAGTTCCTATGTGAAAAGAACTGCATTTGCTGACAGCGATTTTAAGGCCATTTATTTCGCAGTATTTTGAGAATGTTTGGATAAATTTTTGGAGTGGAGAATAGTGATTTTTGTTTAAGAAGTCAAAGCAGGTATAGGCCTTTAAATCGTCAGCAAATAATTTGGGTGTTACATTTTCTGTTTCACAGATATCTATTATATCAAAAATATATGAGATGAATAAAATTGGGCCAAGAATGGATCCTTGAGGAACTCCGCTTGTTATAGGATATTCATTAGAGTTATTAGATTCGACAAGAACAGTAAAAGTTCGATTTAACAGATAATCCTCAATCCAATTTAGTAAAGCGCCAGTGATGCCTAGATGATTGAGTTTTTTCAGAAGGCGATCGTGGGGAACAGTATCAAAAGCTTTTGCCAGGTCGAAGAATATAACGTCAACACATTTCTTATTTTCTATAGCTAATGTATAGTCGTTATAAGTTTCTAGGAGTTGAGTTATAACTGAATGGTTTTTACGGAAACCATGTTGGCAGGTGGGAAGATAATTGTTAGTTTCAAGAAATGAAGTCAATTTATTAGAGATAATCCGTTCTAAAATTTTAGAGGTTGAGCATAAGAGAGAGATAGGTCGAAAATCCTTGGGTTCATTTGGATTATTATTTTTGGGAATTGGTCGGATTATTGACTTTTTCCAAATAGTCGGAATTTTACTTGTCATGATTGACATATTAAATATAATTGTTAATGGAATGGTTAATGAAGTTGCGGTGTTTTTTAAGAAAATGTTGGGAATTCCGTCCGGAGATAGGTTATTAACATTGTCAAGTTTGCTTATAATGTTATAGATTTCCTCTGGATTGATATCAATAAAAGATAAAGTATTTTTGTTAAAAGCTTTTATGTCAGAGGAGTCAAAGTTAGAAGAGTTAAAAACAGATTGGAATTGTTTGGCGAGACATTCGGCTTTATCTTTGGCTGAAATGGTAAATTGATTGTTATTGTTGAAGATTGGGATTTTGGTTTTTTTGGATTTAAGGAAGGCGCCTATATACTGGAATTTAGATCGGGAATCATTGAATTTTGAGATTTCTCTATTTTTAAAGAAACGAGAAATTTCTTTATCGATTTTCTGTTGAGTGAAAATGTATTTTTCACGGGTAGTAGGTTTATTAATATTTTTCCATAAAAGGTTTTTATATGAGATCATTTTTTGAATATGTTTAGGGAATTTAGCAATATCTTTATTGATCATTTTTAGTGGTATGAAATTTTGGATAATTTGATGAATGATTTCTAAAAATAGGGTATATTGAGAATCTACATTGGTACAATTTATAAACAAAGTATTCCAGTTTAAACCGATTAGAATATTGTTAATTTGATTGTAATCGGCATTGTGGAAGTCATGAATGAATTCTGGTTCTTTTGGAAAACAATTGAAATTTAAGTTAAATTCAATGGTGTTATGGTCAGAATTTTTGAATGGGGCATTAATGGTAATATTTTTGGCAACGCGAGAGGTGGAAGAGGAGAAAAGTAGATCAAGATAATTACTTTGTCTCGTTGGAGAAGAGATTTCTTGAAATAGATTACAGTTTTCTACGAAATCAATAAATAATTTTTCAGACGGTGATTTATGATTGAGAGCTTGCGGTATATTATCCTCCCAGATTAGATTGGGGAAATTAAAATCACCTACAATTATGTAGTTATGATTAATAGATATTAGGTAACTTAAGATCTCAAGAAGTTCCTGGAAGTCATTTAAATTTTCGTTTGTTGTAGGGCGGTAAACTGTTATTATTCTAAATTTGTCAAATTTTGGGGAATAAATGTCTATAGCTACAACATCGGAATTTTTATTTTTAGGAATTTTAACGGGAGAAAAAGGAACTATATTATCTACTAAAATACATGCACCGCCGCCCCTAGAACCTCTATCGCATCTAACGATGGAATAAGATGTACTATGTAAAATTTGGGAATTATCGATTTTTTTGTTCAACCACGATTCGGAAACACAAATTATTTTAAAGGATTTAGAAATTAAAAGTAATCTTAAGGCATCTAATTTGTTAACTAAGCTCCGGCTATTAAAATAAAGACATTTATAAAAAGGGGATTTATTTAAAAAATTTTTTAAAACCTTGAATCTTGGACGACCACTTAGTGGTTTTTTGTTCTTTCAGTCACATTGGCACTCATTCTTTTATTGTATTCATCTCGCTTCTTAGTACGTTCAATTTTCTCAGTTTCCAATTGTTCACGAGTAAGACTTGGCCTAATCAATAAACGAGACCATTTAGCTTCTTTTTTCATTTCCACTCTGTGACGTTTCCATTCAGCAAGTGTAATTCGCTGAAACTTTGAAGCACCAAAAACAATTTTAAGTAAACGACAACCTTTAGCAGTTGGGTCATACTTACCCATTCTGTATGAAACGAATGGGCTCTCAACCCCCAACAAGTTGAGTACATCTTCGATTGCGGCTTTATCTTCGACAACACGAATTGATGGTGTTGTTGATTTAGATTCTTGTAGACCAATAACAACAATTGAACGGTTACGCTCTTGTTCGCTTGCTGATGACTCATTGTTTTTAAAATTAGTTTCAATTGTTGTTTCAATTGTTTGAATTTTTGATTCAATTGTTGTTAAAGCATTTTTAATTTGAAGAATTTCATTAGAAAAAGACGAAAATTTTGTGTTGTTATTATCGATTTTTAATTCTAAAGCAGCCAATTTTTCCATTATTTGTTGTAATTCAGTTTTTGTGGGTGCCATTACGGCGTATTGATTTTTTATCTGAAATCTCAAACTTGGGTAATTAAAAAATATACTTCATGTCATAACTATGTCAAATCTTGTCCAATCGAGTTGATTTTGGCGTCATTCGACTCAACTCGAAGAGCTCTTCCAAATGAGCTATCATTTGTGTAAATTTTTTTCATTTCAAAAAATCGCCCCTGTTGTTGTTCAATATTCAGGGGTCTGTATCTCGGTCCAAGTAAGTCGGATTTTGTCAATTTTGGTGTCATTCGACTCAGCTCGACGAGTTCTATAACACAAGATTGACTGACCATTTTTTAACACTTTGAGGAAGGAAAAAGGAGTGGGGGGTACGAACCGAAGAATTACCAGAAAGACTCCCGAATAGGCGTTTTTACTCCGAATTCTAATTATTTTTATTTTAAAAAATAATTTTTTTCTCCAGTGCCTTCAATCAATGTCTCTATTATCTTTAAATTTATTTGACTCAATTCCATTTTTAAAAAGAGAAGATACACAATTTACAATTAGCGCTCCATGGGTTAAAATAACAAATTTTTCTGAACAAATTGGAAGTAGTCGTGATCCGATTGATGCAACAAGTAGTCAAACATTTCGGTAATGAAAGAAGAAAGTTTGGAGGTTTGGATGTTTTTAAATGAGACAATTTGATTAATTTTATGTATAAGCTTTTATATTTTTTATTTTTCTCAAACATTTTTAACTCACTTATTTAAAAGTAAAGAAGAATTTTATATTTTCTTGTATTTCCTCATTAAATTTCAAAGAAGCCACTTTTCATTTTATCAGACTCTTGTGTTCCTTTTTGTATTATAACTACTCTTACTCCTTTATAAAGTAGGTAGAATGTGCAAGTAGAGAAAGAAAATGTTTGAGGTAGTTGAGAATTTGGGATGTAATGCTAAAAATAAGGCTCCCATACAAAATCTCTATTCCTTAAAATCGCTATTCCTTAAAATCTCTACTAGGCTAAAAATGCTTAAAATCTCTATTCCTTAAAATAACTATTCCTTAAAATCTCTACTGGGGTAAAAATAATTAAAATCTCTACACCGCGCAAATGGACGGTTGAGTCTCAACAAAAGTGTACCATCTGAATCTTTCTCTGGAAAAACCAGACTTGTTAATGGATACGGGTACAATTAGTTTAAAAATGGCTGCCATATCCGCCTGTATCCGCCTTAAATATCGAAAATATAAGACACGACTGCTTCGCTGCGGTCGTATTCATTTTCCTTGCGGTGATCGTATCGAAGCGGCTGCTGTCGTTCCGCTGGACATGCCTGGGTTCATCCGCAGCGTCAAAAACTATACAAGCAAAAGATAATCCAGAAATCAGATCAAAAGATAATCCAGAAATCAGAACAACGTTCCCGCACTTAACGTTGGCACTCAAAAGGCTTCATAATAAAAATAGATATTTTGCCTATTTTTGAGCCTTGTAGAGATTTTAAGGCATTTTACTCGTGTAGAGATTATGAGGAATAGAGATTTTAAGGAATAGTTATTTTAATCATTTTTAGCCGAGTAGAGATTTTAGTGAATTTTAGCTGTGTAGAGATTATAAGGCATTTTAGCCCAGTAGAGATTTTAAGGAATAGAGATTTTGAGGGGATACGAAAAATAAAGGCTCCCATACAAAATACCGAATTCTTAAAATATGGAATCTCAAAATCGCGAATCGGCTAAAAAAGCTCAAAATATGGAATCTCAAAATATCGAATCTCAAAATATGGAATAGGCAAAAAAAGCTCAAAATATCGAAAAATATCGACAATGCGGCAAAGGCCAGTTGAGTCTGAACAAAGTTGTGACCAACTTCTTCGTAAAAAAATTTTAAAAATAAGAGAAAGTATTTTTCTAAGGTAAAAAAATGTGCTGATTACGAATCTCAGCTCGGATTTTGAAAAAGTCGAATCCCGGACCCGAACCGAATTTCGAATCCCGAACCGAATTTCGAATCCCGAACCGAATTTCGAGTTTCCGAATGATAGCTCATCTGAAAGAGCACGTCGAGCTGCATCGAATGATACCAAAATCAATGAAATCCGACCTGATTGGACTGAGTTACAGATCCCTGAATAATCAGAAAAAGACCTGCAGCGGCACTCAAACGGCCCTTTTCGTTTTTAAAAAATTCGACATTTTTAACTACTTTTTAGCCGATTCGGTATTTTGAGCTTTTTTGGCCGATTCGCGATTTTGAGATTCGATATTTTAAGATTCCATATTTTGAGCTTTTTTGGCCGATTCCATATTTTGAGATATTTTTACCGATTCGCGATTTTGAGCTTTTTTAGCCTATTCGCGATTTTGAGAATTCGGTATTTTGTGCGGGCACGAAAATAAATGACACTTTATCCCAAGAGTTAGAGAAATTCTATAAAAGAAATAGTGTAGCTAGAGAAAAAAAATAAATATCAAATGTTTAGGTCGGTTCAGTGCTGAATTCAGAGAGTATGAAACTACTGTATTTGAATATAATTTTTTATTAAATGCTTCCAATTTTAAAAAATTTTTATGCTTGTTCATTTTTGATTTTTCTAGAATAGTAAAATCCTAAGAATTTAGAGTGCCTTTTTGGCCCTCTCGGTCTTTTAGTGTACGGTTTTTTTATTAACCGGTCTTTTAATACCTTTTAGCCTTTCCGGTCTTTTAGTGTACCGGTCTTTTATTAGTTGGTCTTTTATTATTATCTTTTTAGCCTTCCAGTCTTTTAGTTACCTTAACACCTTTTTGACCATAACGGTCTTTTAGTGTACCCGTTCTTTTGTATAGGATTTGTATAAAACGTTCACATTAAAAGACCGGAAAGGCTAAAAAGATATTAAAAGACAAGGTAATAAAAAGACCGGTTCATTAAAAGACCGGAAAGGCTAAAAAATATTAAAAGACCGGGTAATAAAAAGACCGGTTCATTAAAAGACCGGAAAGGCTAAAAAACATTAAAAGACCGGGTAATAAAAAGACCGGTTCATTAAAAGACCGGAAAGGCTAAAAAACATTAAAAGACCGGGTAATAAAAAGACCGGTTCATTAAAAGACCGGAAAGGCTAAAAAACATTAAAAGACCGGGTAATAAAAAGACCGGTTCATTAAAAGACCGGAAAGGCTAAAAAACATTAAAAGACCGGGTAATAAAAAGACCGGTTTATTAAAAGACCGGAAAGGCTAAAAAACATTAAAAGACCGGGTAATAAAAAGACCGGTTCATTAAAAAACCAGAAAGGCTAAAAGGTCTGTACTCCCAAAATGTCCGAGTCTAAATACACAATCCATCGAACTGTACATTAGAATCCGGAGAAATATTCTGTACACTAAATTCTTAGGATTTTACTATTCTAGAAAAATCAAAAATGAACAAGCATAAAAATTTTTTAAAATTGGAAGCATTTAATGAAAAATTATATTCAAATACAGTAGTTTCATACTCTCTGAATTCAGCACTGAACCGACCTAAACATTTGATATTTATTTTTTTTCTCTAGCTACACTATTTCTTTTATAGAATTTCTCTAACTCTTGGGATAAAGTGTCATTTATTTTTAGCATTACATCCCAAATTCTCAACTACCTCAAACATTTTCTTTCTCTACTTGCTACATTCTACCTTACTTTATAAAGGAGTAAGAGTAGTACTCAATACAAAAAGGAATACAAGAGTCTGATAACATGAGAAATGGTCTCTTTGGAATTTGATGAGGGTATAAGACCGTTAAATCCTTCTAGAAATCGATTTAAATTTAAAGTCCTCGATACGGGTACACGACTAATAGGCGCGGCCGAATAGGCGCGGACGAATAGGCGCCATTTTTTCGGCGCAGCATGTTTTCGGCGTCGAGGGAAAAAATTTAAATATACAAATAATAGCTCATTTGCATGAGTTAGACGAGCCGAATCGATGATACCGAAACCAGCTTGACTCGAAATTATGCATAAACTTATGACCAACAGAATCTTCGCTGGAAAAACTGTTTTTGTGCTGCTAGGGAGGGTAGGCCGGGCATGGTCTTCGCTACACGATGGCCGTGCTTCGCTGCGGTCGTGCTCGCTGCGCTCGCGGCGACCGTAGCGAAGCGGCGGCCGTCGTTCCGCTCGACATGCCCGGCTTCCTCCGCAGCGGCAAAAACTTTTTTCCGCGTAAATTTATGTGTTTATGCGTTTTTGCCTTAAACGCCGAAAATAGGCTGCGCCGAAAAAATGGCGCCTATTCGTCCGCGCCTATTCGTCCTGCTCCGCTCGATACATAAAATTTAATGAAAAACGGTAATTCAACAACAACAAATTCATTTTTATTTATGCAAACAGATAAAATTTAGTTAAAAACAAGCGAAATTTAAATGTTAATTGTATAGTCAAAATTAAATTTGAAAATAAACCGTCAATTTTTCTTCATTTTTGAGAAATGTCGAAGATTTTTAGGTTAATTCGACTACATCTAATTAAAAACAAAAAAAAATTTGAAAAAAACTATGTTTTCGTCACCATATTCGTTCATAAATCCAATTTTTTCTTTTATGCCAACACTTGCTTCTTTTATAATTCCATCGCTTCTTCAAAGAAACAAAAAGGCCAGGAATTTGTTGTTGAAGTTGATGACGAGGCTTGTGTAGTACTAAAAAGAAAATTAAGAAAACTAATGGAAAAATAGGAAAGAATGCCTAAAAGTCGGAAAGGATAAGTCGAAAAGGGGAAGCTTAACAAAATACCGATAGACCAAAAGTGAAAAAAATGTCTAAAAAGGAATAATGGACAGTAACGAAAAACTGGAGAATGTTGTGACACAGGGTTTATGGTGGCACACACGATTTTGATGAGGTGTTATTCGAAAGAGCTTGGCGAGCTGATTCGATAGCTCGGGGGAAGAGGCCGAACGGACGTTTAGGGGACCGAGTTCAGTTTCCAAATTTCAAGGGGGGGGGGCTATAGCCCTAGAAGCTCCCTGGCTACCAAGGGCGTATCCAGGGGGGGCTGGGGGGGGCTAGAGCCCCCCCCCCCCCCGAAATGGGGAAAGGGGGAAAAAATTAGGAGAAGGATGATCGAAAAAGTGAAATTTTTTCGCCTACAACCCTCAAATTTAAAAAAATTTTCGCCTGCGGCGCAAAAAATGGAAGAAATCTGGCTTCTTGAGCTCCAAAATCCTCAAAATTTTCGCCTGCGGCGCTAAAAAGTGAACTTTTTTGGCCTACGGCCCTCCAAATTCAAAAAATTTTCGCCTGCGGCGCTAAAAAGTGAACTTTTTTGGCATACGGCCCTCCAAATTCAAAAAATTTTCGCCTGCGGCGCTGAATAAGTGAATTTTTTGCCTACGGCCTTCTAAAATTCAAAAAATTTTCGCCTGCGACGCAGAAAAGATGAAAATTTATGTACAAAAAAAATTTGCGTCCGGAACGCCAAGGCAAACGCCAAAAATTTTTGCGCCCACCCAGTGTTAGCCTCCCCCCGAAACCGGCCCCCTGGATACGCCCTTGCTGGCTACGCCCTTGACTTATTGGATGGCCCTAACCATTTATCCCATATCGACTCATGTCAGCTCGACGAGCTTTTTCTAATGACTTGTAATTTGTCGAAATCGGATAGACAAACAAAAACCTCCCTACA